ACAACTATGTGTCATCACAGAAGTTATCAGAACTCGGCAAAGCTTTTGTACAACAAATATCCAATGATAGCACACCAAGTTCATTGAAGGAGGCACTATCTGACGATCGATGGACCAAGGCCATGGAGGAAGAAATGGTTGCACTCTAGAAAAATCAAACGTGGGATTTAGTTCCATTTCCCCAAGGAAAGAAGAGAGTTAGGTGTCGATGAGTGTACACCATCAAGCACAAAGTTGATGGATCTGTTGAATGATACAAAGCACGATTGGTGGCCAAGGGATACACTCAGAAGTATGGTGTTGATTATACAGAGACATTTGCCCCGGTAGCCAAGATTAATACGGTAAGAGTATTGCTTTCATTGGCGGCCAACTTAGATTGGCCATTACAGCAATTTGATGTGAAAATTGCTTTCTTACATGATAATCTTAAAGAAGAAGTGTATATGGATATACCACCTGGTTATGCATCGGTTTTACAACCCGGAGTAGTGTGCAAGTTGAATAAAGCGTTGTATGGGTTGAAACAATCACCTCGAGCATGGTTTGGGAGGTTTCGGACGACTATGAGGAGATATGGGTTCAGGCCGGGCAATTCCGATCATACATTTTTCTTGAAATGTTGAATTGGGAAATTGACAACACTTATCATCTATGTGGATGATATGATTGTTACGGGTGATGACAAAGAGGAAATCTCAAGGCTCAAAGATTACCTAGCAACCGAGTTCGAGATGTACGATCTTGGTGGTTTGAAATATTTCTTGGGGATAGAAGTAGCTCGATCTAAACAGGGTATATTTCTGTCTCAAAGAAAATATGTTCTAGACTTATTAACAGAAACCGGAATGCTTGATTGTAAACCGACTGACACCCTTATAGTCCAAAATCACCATCTTGCCGTGCACCCTGATCAAGTTCCCACTAACAGAGATCGTTATCAAAGGTTAGTTGGGAGGTTAATTTATTTATCTCACACCAGGCCTGATATTGCATACGCAGGGTTTAGGGTTGTTAATCAATTTATGCATTCTCCAACTGAGGCACATATGGGTGCAGTTGAACACATCCTACGATACCTAAAGTCCTCACCAGGTAGAGGCATCATGTGCTCCAAGAATGATCATTGCCGAATAGAGGGTTACACCGATGCAGATTGGGCAGGCAATGTTACTGATCGTCGGTCCACATCTGGTTACTTTACATTTGTGGGAGGAAACTTAGTGACTTGGCGGAGTTAGAAACAGAAAGTGGTTGCTTTATCAAGTGCAGAGGCGGAATATAGGGGTATGGCAAAAGGAGTATGTGAACTATTATGGCTTCGGAGGTTACTTGGTGAACTCGGGTATCCTTCGAATTCAGCCTCAGATTTATTTTGTGATAATAAAGCAGCTATCGATATCTCACACAACCCAATTCAACATGATCGCACAAAACACGTGGAAGTTGACAGACACTTCATTAAGGAGAAGTTGGATGGGAATATTATTCAATTCCCGTTCGTAAAGTCAAAGGATCAATTAGCGAATATCTTAACTAAAGCTATTGCAAGTCAAGCGTTCTACAACTCTCTTGTCAAGTTGGGCATGAACGACATTTATGCACCAACTTGAAGGGAGTGTTGGAGAGTTGACCTTTTGTAATTAGTTTAGTTACCTTTTTGAGTCCTTATAATCAGATTGTAATTAGGTTATTTGATGTTTATTTATTTCCTTGTAAATCACTCTTGTACATTATATATTTTCCTCCTTGATGAGAAGAATGATATCAGAAAATTAAGCCCCAAAGATAAGCTCTAATTAGCATATCTAACCTTATTAGTTGTTTAGCGGCTTGTATCTTATGCATATTTGGAAATGCAGGATAAAGGACCATCCAAGGACGAGGATAATTGGAGTGACTAGCATCCGCTGTGCTTATGATCCTCATTTCCGCTAGGTAGAGCACCTTTGTCTTTCTCGGAGTTTCCTGTTTTGCTTTTAGATCTAAGAGGCTGTATTTGATAGGCACAATGATTAGTAAGTTTATATTTTCTTGCGGCGTGTATAGATATGTACATTTAAGCTCATTCTTAAAGTAGAATCAAGGGAAAAATTTATGGAAAAACTTGTGCACTGATAATTAAAAAAAGTAAAACTGAGTCATTGATGAATTAAAAGAAGAAAAACTGAGTCTGTTCTGAAAGAAAAATAAAATTTGTTAAGTGATATTTAGTTTAATAACACATTAAACAATTGTACATAATTACCAAATGTATCTATCAAATATTTCTCTCGATAATTTGTTCAGTTATCCTATATAGTTACACCCTAACAAAATCCTGGAATCAAGCTAAAATTCTGTTCGTTGTACCACGCCGAGAAACTAGGTGTTATAACCAACCAAATGTTAAGTATATAATATATAGCAATTTGCACAGTCTATTTCTAATGAAAAATTCAACAACAGATACAATATATCAAAATATAAACACTTAATGAAATCGCATTTAAAATCACAAATCACTGACTTATTCTTTGAAGATAGAGGTTTGCAGAAGCAATCACCTAAGACAGAAATTCGCCCCTACACTAGTGCAGTAGTTCAATGGACGTCTATCTTGCAGGATACAACTATCTAATCCAAGTTCTTGCACACGAACTTGGATTCTTGGCGAATTGGTTGTGCATTTCTCTGTGAAAGATGGAAAAAGGAAACGAAATTGATTGATGAATTTTCTGATTTTATTGCCATATATATAATGGCGTAACTTGAACAAATGTAACCATTCATTCTTATTAGTTTTAAAACGGACGTAACTGTTCAATCTAATTTATCCTTTCGAAAAAACTGAATCCAAAAAATCAAAAACGTAACTTGTGTTTTTCGTCCATCTGAGCCCCAAGGCCCAAGGCCCATCTTTGACATTTAATATATACACCCAAACCTTCCAAGTCTAAGGCCCAAGGTCCATGGCTTTGGCCTAATTCTTTTCAAACAATAAGTGAGTGAACTCACCTTTGGCCCAATTCTTTTCAAACTATAAGTGAGTGAACTCACTTATAAAGCTAACTTTCAATAAAAGTTTGGGCGATGTGGGACTGGGAGTCCCTTATACACAAGTTCCAACAATAACCCCCATTTTCTATTCAAACTCTAGCAATACCCCACATTTGAATAGAAAATAAGATACTGACTAAATTAGTAATGTCTTTCCAAAGAACTTAGATATAATACACATCGGGATATGTGTCTTTTGGACTTGAACCTTCTCTAGTGAGTACTTATCGGATTTACCTAATGAAGCAGTTAATTTAATATGTTAAACTGATCATTCTTAGTAGTAAATCGAAACAATAAGTATCACACATATCACATCTTGACACATGTCAATTCATACGGTTGTGTTTATTTTGGTCCTGAATAGATCCTGATTTCATGAGACCTTTAGAGAATTGTAGCCATATAAATTCTCAAAGATGCGACCTCACATCAATCTCATATAGGTAACGCTAATTAAGAATAGCATATTCTATTCATCTTAACCATAAGATATTAGCATTATTAAGAATTGTTGTTCACCCTCTTCGTCTTATAGGTAACATATTGTTTTCCATCATAAGAATGAGTAAAGATTGCGTGCTTCTTACTTTGAGTTTTCCTCAACTAGTTTGCCTATTGAACCTAGACCATGGGATCTCCAATTAGCTAGGTTAGGTTTCCGTCAAGTTATAACTCATTGAGTTGGCTTTAAACCCATTCCCCTTGATTAAATGCCACCTGATCCTTGGATAGGCCTTTTGTCAAAGGATTGGCAATATTCTCCTTAGATTTAATATAATCAATGGAAATAGTTCGATTCTTGAGTAGCTGTCTAATGGTCTTATGTCATCACCTTATACATCTCGACTTTCCATTATATTCAGCGTTTTTGGCTCGACCTTGTGCAGTCATGCTGTCACAATGTATACATATTGCAGTCACATGCTTGGGCCATAATGGAATATCTTCCAAAAAATGTTTAAGCCATTCAGCTTCATCAACAGTTGTATCTAAGGCTATAAACTCTGATTCCATTGTCGAATGTGCTATACATGTTTGCTTAGACGATTTCCATGACACAGCTGCTCCACCAAGTGTAAATACATATCCACTTGTGGATTTACTGTCTGTGCTCCCTGAAATCCAATTTGCATCACTATATCCTTCTATGACTGGGGGATATTGAGTGTAATTCAAACCATAGTTCATTGTATGCTTTAGGTATCTTAATACCCTTATTAATGTATTCCAGTGAACTCTTCCAGGATTACTTGAATACCTACTTAGTCAGCTTATTGAATAAGCAAGATCAGGTCTTGTACAATTCATAATGTACATCAAGCAACCGATAACTTGGGTATACTCTAATCGAAATACGCTCTCTTCTTCGTTTTTAGTAAGTTTGTGAATGGGATCAAAAGGAGTTACTGCAGGTTTACAATCATAATGTCCAAACCTTTTTAGAACTTTTTCAACATAATGTGATTGAGTTAGGACGTATCCATCTGAATTCCTTAGGATTCGAACTCCAAAAATCACATCAGATATTCCAATATCTTTCATATCAAAACTAGAATTTAGCATTTTCTTTGTGGAGTTAATCACATCTTTGCTTGTTCCCATTATAAGCATGTCATCAACATATAGACATACAATAACACAAGCATTTTTCGTTTGCTTAACATAAATGCATTTATCACTTTCATTGATTACAAATCCATTCGTAATCATATTATGATCGAATTTTTCATGTCATTGCTTAGGAGCTTGTTTAAGTCCATATAATGACTTAATCAGTTTGCAAACTTTCTTTTCTTGACCTTTGACAATGAAACCTTTAGGTTGTTCTATATATATTTCTTCGTCTAATTCACCATTTAGAAATGCGGTCTTGACATCCATTTGATGTATCTCGAGATTGTATACAGACGCTATATCTATTAATAACCTAGCTACTGGTGAATAAGTGTCAAAGTAGTAAAGTCCTTCTTTTTGACGATACCCCTTGACTACTAAATGAGCTTTATACTTGTCCATGGTACCATCTGGTCTCAATTTCCTCTTGAAAATCCATTTGTGTCCTATTGGTTTATTTCCAGGAGAGAAGGAAATAGAGACGGTTCCTGTTCATGAGGTTGAAATGAGGCGGAAAGATTTGCTACCTATTCATCCTTTTCATAGGTTTCAGTCTGACTGGAATGGTAGGTAATCTTGCCGCTGTATTCATGTTAAAATGGACATGAATTTGCTTATTGTTTGTAGCATTTTGTACGAATCCATCTTGCATTTTTTTCTTGCTCCTGGAGGTTGCTAAGCTTCCTTGAAAATCTGCATCTTTGCATTTCTTATTTACTTTGTGTTTGTGGTTCTATATGGTTTGATTACCTTTTCTGAGAGGCTAGAGGTTTCTTGAGCATGCTTTTTCTAAATAACAAGTAAAAAATATCACAAATATTGCTTTTGAATGTTTTAATTTTTAAACACTAATTGAATTTGTTGGCGGCTTTATGCAGGCATCTACGATGCATGGACATGGGAGAAATCCATCGTATCCTGTATCTGACACGCTGAGGATACGGATACGCGAAGGATATGCGTGGATACGCGCCCGATACGTATCGGAATGAAGAGATACGTTTAGGACTGATAAGATACGCGTATCGTATTGTCCAGATACCTGTATCCTACTTTTCGGATACGTTTGAAACTAAAATAGGAGGATCATCAGAAAAAAAAAAAAAAAATCACAATAAATTTGCATAGAATCGTGATTGATCGAAGCTAACTAACTGAAATCACTCTAAAATCGGAGGATAATTAGAAAAAATAAAATAAAACTCGGATTTACCTCTCGAACCTCATAACATAAATCACTCTTGTTGGGAGACTTTCACAAATCAGACCGTCATCTGCAACCGTTCCATCGTCTTCATCTGCAACTGCGCCGTCGTCTCTATCTTCTCCATCTACAAGTGCTCTGTCGTCTCCTTCTTCTCTGTCTGCAACTCCAGGTGAGTGAGTACTGAAAGTTTGAAACTAAAAGCTTTAAGCCTTTAACTGATTATAAAATATAATGCCATTTGCTTTTCCAAAAGTCGAAACCAATATTATTATATTCATACTACTACCCACAATAATATATTATAATACACATACCACTACCCACAATAATATATTATAATACCCATACCACTACCCTATAGCCCATTCGAATTTGATGAAGCTTTTTGCTTCTCTGTTTGTAATTTTTTGTATTATTATAATATTATTCTGATGAAGCTTGTTGCTTTTCTATTTGCTTTTCTGTTTTTAACTTTTTGTATTATTATAATATTCTTCTGATGAAGCTTGTTGTTTTTATTATAATATTATTCTGATGAAGCTTGTTGCTTTTCTGTTTTTAACTTTTTGTATTATTATAATATTCTTGTATTTTGCATATTATAATATATTATTGTGTAGTGGTATGAATAATTAGATTATAATAATTTTATGTATATGCTTTCATGATGTGTTTTTTTATGTATATGCTTTCATGATGGATTAACTCTTACTGTTTATAACTTTATATGTTTGTTGATTTAGGAAAATGAATCATCCTGATAATCATGCGAATGATAATACTAATCTGGATGATAATGCTAATCCTGATGAGATTGTTGAAAATTATCACACTCCGTTGTGGAAGTATGTCAAAAAGCTCGAAAAAGTGGGAAATAAAGGAGGAGGAAATACTGAATTTAAATGCAATTATTGTCAGAAAACTTATAAAGGATCCTACCCTAGGGTCAAGTATCATTTGTTAAAAATGGCTGGAAACGGGATCGCGCCTTGCAGCAAGGTTACTAATGAAAATCTTGTAGAAATGGAAAAGTTAATTCGAGAGTGTGAATATAAGCTGAAGAGTTCTGCTCTTAAGAATGTGTCTTTGCCCAATACTGGTTCTTTTTGTTATGAGCTACCTGAAATGAATCTTGATCCAAAGAAGAGAAAAGGAACAAGTGGGCCTCTCAGTAAAGCTTTTAACAAGGAAGCTCAAGATCAATGTGATGCCGAGGTTGCAAGGATGTTTTATACAGGTGGCTTATCATTTAACCTTGCAAGAAATCCACACTATCGAAACTCATATGTTCGTGCTTCTACACTTCTAGGGTATGTTCCACCAGGTTACATGCACTAAGAACCACTCTTCTGCAACAAGAGAAGAGTCACATTGAACAATGCCTCCAACCAATCAAGCGCACATGGAGCACTAAAGGTGTAAGTTTGTGCAGTGATGGGTGGACAGATGCACAAAGGAGACCACTAATTAATATTATGGCAACTTGTGAAAGCGGGCCTATGTTCTTGAGGGCAATTAATTGTGAAGGTGAATATAAAGACAAGCATTGTATTGCCAACTTTTTTACAAAAGCTATCAAAGAAATTGGTCATGAAAATGTTGTTCAAGTGATCACTGACAATGCTCCTGTCTGTAGAGTTGATGGGTTACTTATTGAGGCTCACTATCCCCATATCTTTTGGACACCCTGTGTTGTTCACACTCTTAATCTTGCTTTGAAGAGTATATGCTCTCCGAAACAAACAGATGTTTCGTACGATGACTGCAATTGGATTTCAACTATTGCTAGTGATGTTTGGTCCATAAAAAATTTTATTATGAACCATAGCATGAGATTGTCCATGTTTAATGAACATTGCAAACTAAAGTTGCTCTCCATTGCCGAAACAAGGTTTGTTTTCTCCACTTTTTTTTTTTTTTTTCTTATTCAATTATGAGCTATCCTAATTTTAAAATTTTTCAGATTTGCTTCCACACTTGTGATGCTTAGAAGATTTAAGGAAGTAAAGGAAGGTTTACAACAAATGGTGATTAGCCCAGGCTTTATACAAAGAAGATGATTTGGTTAAAGCAATGTCGGTGAAGCAAAAAATATTGGATGAGTACTTTTGGTAGAAGATTGATTATATTCTTTTCTTTACAGCTCCAATATATGAGGTTATTAGAATGGCTGATACAGATAAACCTTGTCTTCACTTGGTGTATGAGTGGTGGGATACTATGATTGAAAAGGTGAAAGCTGCTATCTACAGGAATGAGCGCAAGGCATTACATGAAAAAAGCAGCTTTTTTGATGCGGTGTATCGCAATTTATTGGAACGATGGACTAAAAGTAGCACACGACTTCATTGTTTGGCGCATTCATTAAATCCAAGGTAATGATTTTGCTAATATCCTTATAAACTCTTATAAATTAATCTTTAGCTTTATGATTATATTTTTAAAGTGCTATTTCTTTTATTTTAGGTATTATAGTTCAGAATGGCTCCAAGAAGACCCTAGTCGGGTTGCTCCACACCGAGATGTTGAGCTTATAACTGAAAGGAAAAAGTGCTTTGAGAGATACTTTTCCAATGAGGAAATTAGAAGAAGTATCAATGTGGAGTATGCCTCTTTCTCTATGTGCTTGAATGACTTTGGAGCTATTGATTCTATGAATGATAGGTTTCATTTGGAACCAGTGATGTGGTGGATTGTCCATGGAGCTTCTACACCTAGTCTCCAATCCATAGCGTTGAAGCTACTTGGACAACCTTGTTCCTCCTCTTGTTGTGAAAGAAATTGGAGCACTTATAGTTTTATTCACTTTCTAAGAAGGAACAAGATTACACCACAAAGAGCAGAGGATTTGGTATTTGTGCATAATAATCTTCATCTTTTATCAAGGAATAGCTCAACCTACAAAGAAGGTATTACTCAATTGTGGGATGTTGGAGGAGATGACTTTGAAAATTCGGGTGAAGAAAGTGTCGGGATGCTTGATATTGCTAACCTTTCACTTGATGAACCGTCATTGGAGACTACTTTGATTACTGGAGAAGACATCATGAATGTGGAAGTTGAATGAGACTTTTTTTTTATTTTTTATTTTAATTTCGTTTGGATGATCCTTTTACTTTTTCAAGTTTTAAGACTAATTGCTTATTGGATGAACTATCTTTCTAAATGTTTAGAGTTTATTGGAATAAATTTGAATGCTTATTTTATAATGTTTTAGATATGTGTGTGTGTGTGTATATATATATATATATATTTTTTTTTTTTTAATTGCCGTATCCTTGACGTATTGTGTCCTTATTTTTAGAAATTTCACGTATTCCCATGTCGTATCGTGTCGTATTCCCGTATCCGTGTCCGTGTCCATGCATCATAGGCAGGCATCTAATTGGAGGAGAATGCTCAAGTTCATCTTCTGATTCTCACGAAGATAAAGAAAAGTTTCAGGAAAAATCTCGGTAATTCTGGTGAGAATTTTACACCTATAGGCTCAGCTAAAAACCCAATGCTGGTAAGAATTCTGGTATTTATGATGCAATATTATTATTGTTTTTTTAGTACAAGAGGATTTTCTAATGCAAACCGTTTTTCTTTAACGAATGGTTAGGTGATTATCCACTTATTCTCCAACCTGGAAATGGTCGGAATGGCGAAAAAAGAGGGAGAAAGGTGCTTTGTTGCTGGAAGAACCACTGAACCAGTAGAACTGTCCGCGGTTCTTCAATTCAATTCGAATAATTTTTTTTACCCAGAAAAGCTAGCAATTCCCGGTGAGTTTTATAGCTTTCTCAATGTGGGTGTTTCAATTTCGTTTTTGTGATTTTGGATTTGCAAATTTGTTTTCTGTTCAAATATCCTATTGTGATTTTGGAGGATTTTGTTTATCGATTCTCTCACTCATCTGTCAGATCTCTCTCTCGCTTTTGTGCTAGATGTCAATGTTTGCAAAAGTGGCAGAAAGCAGAGTGTGACAGAAAGCAGAGTGTGACAGCCTTCTTCCTAGCCGAAGGCTCTGTGTGTGTGTGAGCATACAAGTCTTAAAGTTGCGTGAAATTGTCAAAAGTTGAAGACTTTTGTTCACCTTTCTTTTTTTGCTTTTGCATGTATTAGTCTTTTGCGGTTTACAGTGCAGGCATCCTTTTCCAATTATTGTTGCCTATTCAATTTATTTGATTCATTAACATTTGTGTACATTTATATTGTTGGATTATCTGTCGTGAGAAAATTGTTGTCTGGACATGCCACACTGCATTCGTTATTAGAAATGCAAATATGTCGTATGAACGGCGAAAAGCCACAGAAACTACTTAAACAAACTCACATCTAATCTTTTTGGCATTCATAAAAAAAAAAAAAAAAAGGGTTTTTTTATATGGGTCCAAAGTAACGAAAAATTGAATCTATTTCAAAGGTCAAAAGTCACTAAAAATTGGACCTATTTCAAAAAGTAGTCGATAAAATTAGACCTACTTCAAATTTTTCTAAAAATAAATCTATGATCTTGTATGTGGTCCGTATCAATCAAATTTTTTCTATGTAAAAATCTTCTTCATGTTGCAATATAAATAATATTAATTATTTATATTTTTTAGACATGCTCTTTCATATAATTTTTAATCCGCGTACCAATTTCTAGTTCTCTCTATAAGTCTAATCCGTGTAATATTTTAGCTGAAATGCTTTCAGTCATTGTTTAGGAGCAAATTTTATTTTAGCTGAAATGCCTTCCGTCATTTTTTTAATAGCAAATTTAGTGCCTCGTTGGTTTGCCAACCACCTTCCCATATCTTTGTCAAAATATTAATATTCTCTCTATAGTCTAATTTCCATAATATTTTAGCTTAAATGCCTTCGGTCATTGTTTACTAGCAAATTTAGTAATTGGTTTGCTAACCACCTTCTTAAGACTTTATCAAAATATTAATATTCTCTCTACATAGTCTAATCCCCGTAATATTTTAGTTGAAACGCGTTCAGTCATTGTTTACTAGAAAATCTAATTGTTGATTTGCTAACGAAAAATAATAATTAGTAGTAGCTAGTCTACTAAGTTAAATAAAACTTAATAGTTGACCAAAAAATTAAAACCCTCCAACCCCCTCCGTGGCATGCATCATCGTCTTCATTAACAACACAAATAGTTAAAGTATCTGTTGTCTTAGGAGAGTGTATAGAACGTTGCAGAGAATCTTATATTCCGAAATTTTAAAATGTTAAATTTTGAGTTAAGAATACAATGATCAAAATTTAAACGCCAAAAAAAAAAAAAAATTGAGGAACCGAAATATGATAAATTTTTTTGATATTTTGAATATGAATGTAGATATGCATTTATGGTAATTAATTGAAGCAGGTGGGTATGGGGTTAGGCATCAAGAGAAATATCAGGCAACTGAAAATCTTTGGGCCTTCAAATTTTTGATAAGGATGTTAATATGGGATTCATACAAACCAAAGTCATATCCGGCTGAATCGAAGTCATAATGTTCGTTTCTCCATGACTCTATGACACCTCTAATTTTCTAATTTATTAATTTATCGGGACATGGATACTCTGATTGATCATGTTATTAGTAAGACACTTGTTATACGAACATAAGACTTTCTCTGCATTTTCGGATTTAGGACCTTGGTAACGTGATTGATTACGAATTTGTGGGTTTAGGAGCATTCAAATTTAGTGCATACAAGCCCCCTTCTTAAGAGGGATCTTTTTTGATAGAAACAAGACCTTTCCACTGTTGCATTCTTCGTTTTCTTGAATTTCTTTGGTTTTTGACAGGTGATTGAGTGGTGTTTGATTGAGAAATTTGGGGATTAGGGTTGAGTTGGGGTCTATTTGGTTGCCTGGAAAATTTGGGAAAGAAAATGGGGTCATGGGGTTTCTTGTTTGTTGTGGATTTGTGCATGGGAATTGCAATTTCTATGTGTATTTTCTTAATAGTTGTCTACTTTTTTAGGTTTTCTTAGCCACCAAATGGGGAATATTTCATTTTCTTTTGTTTGTGTTTGTAGCAGTGTATTAAAAGAGCGAGGCGTGGTTGAGGCATCCGAGGGATAGCCCCGCCTAGGCGTGAGGCAAAGCCTCATGGAACTTAAATTTTTTAATATATACACATATATTATATTAAAAAAAAGATTATTAATCAATAATTACCCTGAGCACACACATATATTTTAAATACACACACACAGATATATATATATATATATATATATGCATATATTATATGATATATACATATATATATATATGTATGTATAAAAGAGGCAGCAACCCTCACGCCCAGCCTTAGAGGCCGTCTAGGCGCGTCCTGAGGCAAGCCTTTTGAAACATTGGTTTGTAGTGATGTAATTCAAGTTCTGTTTATTGTGATTTTAAATCAAATGCCTTACTTCATCTAAATTTTTTGTGTATTTGATTTGTTAAACAATTTTTAAGACAAGTCTGCATATTCTACACTGTGTCGATCGTCACGCACTATTGGCTGTCGTTTGTTATGCATTATTGGCTATGTCATTGGGTTGTAGACAAAATAATTTGCCGTCCAAGCTGTTAGTTCGCATGGAGCCACCCAACTGTCTCAGCAGTCTATTAGGGCATCTAGCACTCTTATTCATACTTTCTGGCCTTATATGCAAGCTGATTCTCTGGGAGCACTCGATTCTATTCTATTTTATTTTATTTTTTCCATTTCGGTTCATATCGATATTTCCAGAGATTCAAATAACTTGACTACCTCCTCGATGACCAGGAAAAACAATGACAATTTAGAAATTGAATTAAAATTCTCATATAATCACACACAAAACACAATCTTTACTTCATTGCCAATGGTTGCACCACTTCTTTTTACTCATGCACATCCTTATGTATTTCAATCTTTAGATTAAATAAAACAAAGAAACATCAACAAATTGCTAATGGCTTTACAAATTTCAAGAAGCTAGTTCTTTTTCTGTCAAAATGATTTATGATCCTGGATTGCAGTTTTAAAATAAAAGATCTAATAATTGTGAAAATTAAATCTAATAACTAAAACACTCATAGCATAAAAAGTGATCCGTAATGTTAAAGGTAGATACAAACAAATTAAAATGATGACATTGTGAGACATTTCAGTACTGCAAAATCAAATATTTATTTTCATTATATTTTTATAAAATTAAAATAAAAAAAAATAATTAAAAAAAAAAATAACCCACGTTACGGGTCTTCTGTTTTTTCTCTCTTATGTCACGTACCAGAATCTCTGGTAGCTGAAATGCCTTCCGTCATTTTTTATTAGCAAATTCAGTTCGTAGTTGGTTTGCCAACCACCTTCCCATGTCTATATCAAAATATTAATTTTCTCTCTATAGTCTAATTTTCATAATATTTTAGCTTAAATGCCTTCGGTCATTGTTTACTAGCAAATTAAGTAATTGGTTTGCTAACCACCTTCTTAGGACTTCGTCAAAATATTAATATTCTCTCTACATAGTCTAATCCCCGTAATATTTTAGTTGAAACGCGTTCAGTCATTGTTTACTAGAAAATTTAGTAGTTGATTTGCTAACGAAAAATAATAATTAGTAGTAGCTAGTTTACTAAATTAAATAAAACTTAATAGTTGACCAAAAAAATTAAAACCCTCCAACCTCCTCCTTGGCATGCATCATCATCTTCATTAACAACACAAATAGTTAGAGTATTTGTTTTTTTTTAGGAGAGTGTATAGAACGTTGCAGAGAATCTTATATTCTGAAACTTTGAAATGTTAAATTTTGGGTTAAGAATACAATGATCAAAATTTAAACGCCAAAAAAATAAAAATTGAGGAACCGAAACATGATAAAGTTTTTGATATTTTGAATATGAATGTAGATATGCATTTATGGTAATTACTTGAAGCAGGTGGGTATGGTGTTATGCATAAAGAGAAATATCAGGCAACTGTATCAGGCAACTGAAAATCTTTGGGCCTTCAAATTTCTGATAAGGATGTTAATCTGGGACTCATACAAACCAAAGTCATATCCGGCTGAATCGAAGCCATAATGTTCGTTTCTCCATGACTCTATGACACCTCTGATTTTCTAACTTATTAATTTATCGGGACATGGATACTCTCGTTCATCATGTTATTAGTAAGACACTATTTATACGAACATAAGACTTTCTCTGCATTTTAGGATTTAGGACCTTGGTAACTTGATTGATAGGAGCATTCAAATTTAATGCATATAAGCCCCTTTTCTTAAGAGGGATCTATTTTGATAAGAAACAAGAACCTTCCACTGTTGCATTCTTCGTTTTCTTGAATTTCTTTGGTTTTTGACAGGTGATTGAGTGGTGTTTGATTGAGAAATTTGGGGATTAGGGTTGAGTTGGGGTCTGTTTGTTTGCCTGGAAAATTTGGGAAAGAAAATGGGGTCATGGGGTTTCTTGTTTGTTGTGGATTTGTGGGAATTGCAATTTCTGTGTGTATTTTCTCAATAGTTGTTTACTTTTTTAGGTTTTCTTAGCCACCAAATGGGGAATATTTCATTTTCTTTTGTGTGTTTGTAGCAGTGTATTAAAAGGGCGAGACGTGGGCGAGGCGTCCAAGTGATAGCCCCACTTAGGCGTGAGGCAAAGCCTCATGGAACCTAAATTTTTTAATATATACACTGAGTGTACATATATATTATATTAAAAAAAATATTAATCAATAATCATCCTGAGTACACACATATATAATAAATACACACACACACATATATATATATATACATATATTATATGATATACATATATATGTATATTTATGTATGTATGTATAAAAGAGGATGAAAAGCACAATGAGCACACATACAACAATGCAAGTAGACAGCACACACATTCATTATATAAAAAAATAAAAATCAGAAAAAAAAAAAGGACAAAGAGATGATAGTAGAAGGAAGTAATGTTAAAGTTAGATACTAACAAATTAAAATGGTGACATTGTGAGACATTTCAGTACTGCAAAATCACATATTTATTTTCATTATATTTTTATAAAATTAAAATAATTAAAAAATAATAATTAAAAAAAACCCACGTTACTGGTCTTCTGTTTTTCTCTCTTATGTCAGGTACCAGAATCTCTGGTAGCTGAAATGCCTTCCGTCATTTTTTACTAGCAAATTTAGTACGTACTTGTTGCCAGCCACCTTCCCATGTCTTT